TCCTATTAATACGTGCATGCAGGCGAGTTTCTTGCAAACCAACATTTGGAAAATCTTTTCAAAACCACTTGTGGGGCTGAGGTACCACCTCAACTGGGTGCAACAGAGTTTCCAGGGTAGGCGACCCCTTGGAGCATCCAAAAAATTTTTTCCATAGTCAGGGTTTTTATGTTTTTAGTTGTATTGAAATTTGTCAATAGCACTATGTTATGTCCAAAAAAGCTGTATAGAGCTTAAATTTTTCATAGTTAAACTGTGTTTTGTTTTTTAAAACAGGAATTGAAATTTTTAAAATGTTGAAGCTTACATGTTTGGTTTTTGAGACTAAGTTTAACCTAGGCTTTGTATAATTTTGTATGTTTTTTGGATTTTTCATATCACCATTTTTGTGAAATACATATTGTTATGTAACAACCATTAGGAAAATTAATACATTAAGTTTTGATCATTCGTTGACATTGATTAGGCAACATTTCATTGTTTGTAGTATTTTGGTTGTAAATAGTGGGGGGGGTTGGGATAACCACGGGGGGGGGGGTAATATGTATCTGGAGTAGCTGGAAGAGTTTGGGGGGGCAACGCCCCCGCGCCCGGTCTGTACCGGGCCTCCTGGGGGATCACGCCTGATCACCAGGCTGTTCTGCGGGCTGCACGCAAACCCAACGTACGAGCCACACCCGGCTGATCGGGAACTGATTTTTAGGTGCTTGTCCATGCCACTTGAAGACTGCCGGGGGTCGTTGGAAAATCCCCCCTTTGGTGCTGGGGATTGAACATCTCGGGCCCCTGACACTTTTTTGTATGGGCTCTTAAAAAGTGCTAAATGACACCCCTGCTTTTCATTGGGGGGAGGGATGTTGCCATTTTTGGAGGAGGGGGGGGGGGGGGGGGGACTTCCCATCTGTCTGTTTAATACAGTGCAATGAATTCATGGGGCTGTAGTCGTTATTAAGACCATTTCGAGGGGTGGTATAAAAATGTTGTTCATACATGTAATTCTGTTGAGTAGCTCCAACAGGTTTTTTTGGGTTTAAGTGAAAAAAGGGAGCGGGGGGGGGGGGTGTACCCCACGGGGTTGTAAATGTGGGTGTAAAAGTTAGCTGTAGGGGGGATTGTGTTAATTTTAACCTTAAATAGTTTTATATATTTTATTTTTGTAATTATGTTTTAAATAAAAAAAAAAAAATAAAAAAAATAAAAAAATTAATTTTTAATAAGAATTTTATAACTTAATTCTTAATTAAAAAAAACTAAAACTTTATAAAAAAAAATTTTAAAAAAAAACGGATCGTGTTTATTTTTTTTAATTTAACTTTTTACGGAGGGGAAAATTTTTTTATATTTAGAGCTTTTAAATTTTTTAAAAACGAAAACAAAAAAATTACTTTTTGCTTTAATTCTAATTAATAATAATTGTGAGTAATTTTTGTAAACTTTAAATATATAATAAATTTCCTTGCACAAATTAAATTTAAAAAAAAAATCACGATCTGTTTTTAATAATTATAAGTATTAAAGGAAATATTAGGTTGAGAAAACATACATAAATAAAATAACAGAGTATATATACATAATAATGAAGGAAGGTGAGGTGTGGTTGTGAAGGCGTCACCTCCGTCCACTCTGACGTCCACCATCAACCTGCGAACATCATCTACACTCTTACCTCTCAATACCACCATAATGATACTATTTTGGTGGAATTCCCTCGGTATGGGTGGAGAGAAGACTCCTCGTGAGTTCCCAGTAAGTGGATTATTGTTAAAAGTTTCTTTTAACTACAAGTTCTGGTGTTTTCTTAGTATTATAATTGTCCGGTGATGGTTCCTCCGGGAGACGCCAACTTCATGATTTGAAATTTTAATATCTACTGAAGTATTTTGTCACAGGAACTTGTTTTTTTTTATTTAATAACACTTAATAGAGCAATATGTAATTTATTTGTTGTGTAATTTTTTAACTGAGGGACGGTTGGTCACGTGATTTCAGTTACTAAGACACCATGCCGTAGTAACAAGGTAATTAGTACAGTATGACACTAACGACGAGCAACACATTTGCCATTTTTCACTTATCCAGTACTGTACCAGTTTTCATTTATCAGTCGTCACGAGTGTACTGAAGTAATGGAGAGCATGATGAACCAACACAGTTAGTCTGCACCACTACCACTGCTATGTATCAGAAAGATGACGCTAGTTTATCCTACACATTGAGAGTGCAAGTGAGCAGGGAATGAAGACACTTGGCAGAAGTATGAATTAATTACTATAAAGGGTACTGAGGGGAGGAGCAGTTAAGAAAAGAGTATTCAATTAGAGAAATAAAGGGAATAAGAAAAGCAAAAAGATTGAGGCTAAAGTTTCAAGGAATTCGAAGACTAACCCAAAAGGTTCCTTTCAGGTATATAAAAGCAAGATTAAGATTAGGGACAAGACAAGACAGGCCCACTCATCAGATCACCAACAATAAAGAAACTTGTAAAATTTTTAACACTTGCTCTGTGTTTACACGGGAAGGTGCTAGCAAAGGTCCAGAAATAATAAATTACATAGGACAGGACGATAATGAAATATGCATAGTTAGGTTAACTAGTGGCATGGTCCTCGGACAAAGAAATTAAAACTTAACAAATCCTCAGGCCCTGATGAAATGTTTGCAAGGGTTTCAAGGGAATGTAAAGAGGAACTTGGCAAACCTTTGGCTTATCTTTTCAACTTGCCACTACAAATTGACATAATGCCAGACAAATGGGAAATGTAATACCCATTTACATAAAGAAGGAACACTGCAGCAGGTCTACTGGTCCATGCAAAGCAGGTCCAAGTCTCCTACTAGCTTAAGCCAATGACCCAACCTAGTCTGGTGAGGTCATTCACTTAGGAAGGAGCACAGCTTCAGACCTACTAGCACAAACTAGCAAAGTCCAACTCGCCCACTCATGTATTTATCTAACCTATTCTTAAAGCTACTGTCTTAGCTTCTATGACAGTACTCCAGAGCTTGCTCCACTCATCTGCAACTCTATTACCAAGATAGTGCTTTCCTATATCCTATCTTTTTCCCTTTTTTCCTTTTTTCTATCCTTTTTTCTTTTTTTTCCCTTATTTTTAAATCCCCTTTTTCCCTTTTTCCCTTTTTTTTTTCCCCTCTTTTTCCCCCAAATTTAAACACCTTTCTAGAGTGCGGGATTCGGGCCCCTAAACTATCGACGGGGGGAAAAAATTTGTTACATGGATAAACTTTGCCCTTCCCCCCTTTGTACATTTTCCAAGGTGAAATTATTTCCGCTGTAAAAAGGTGTCAAAAGCTGTGCAGCTAAATCAAAATTGGGGCCCTTAAACCAAAGATTTGAGTTGAATTTTGGCGTATTTTATTTTCATGTCCAGTGTTTGCATTTTGGGCCATTTGTCAAAACCCAGGGGAAACCCTCAGTTATGAATTAATTCTTTCCCGTGACCTTGTTCTTTAAATCCTAAATTTTTTTCGAATGCAAATTCGGGCTTTTCCCTTTTTTTAAAATTTAAATTTTAAAAATTGAAATTAAATTTCCGTTCCACCTTTCAGGAGGCTTGAAAAAAAATGCTACCCAACTTATGGCTTGGTTTTTTTTTTGCAAACATCAAATTGTGAGGGTAAACAATGTTGATACCAGGAACAGATAAATAACCCTAAAATTTAATAAAATAGGCCTTTAATAGGGGCAAGGAGGTACCCCGGCAAAGGCAAAAAAGCATCCACTGTTTCTCCCCCATCTAGTATTTCCCCCCAGCCCCATAACCAAAACCTTGCTTGTTTTTTTCAAATGTTTATTTGGTGAGGTTGTCAGGAAAACCACGGTGTGGTCCAACACGGAGGATGGATGGTTGTATGAAAGGTTAATGAATAGGCGAAGAATAATAAAGTGGCGCGGTGGTGGCCGCTGCACCCACAAGGGCTGCTCCCTTTTCGTTTCTAGCTTTTTTTCATTTTTCCCAAAATTGTTTCCCCTGATTTCTTGCGGGTTGTATGAAAAATACTGCCCTTTTGGGGAAAGGGGCATTGTTTTAAAAAAATTTTGAAACAAAAGAAAAAAATTTAATACCCCAAAAGGGGTTGTGTGGTCACTCAGGCGGCACGCCCTCTTCTTCCTTTTAAACCCCTAGGTTGGGCCTTTAAAGATAGCCTTTGGTTGAAAGCACCCTGTACCTACAGCCCCCAGGGGTTGCCTTTTTCTTTTTTAAAGCTTTTGGGCCCAAAAAATATTTTTTTTTTTAAAAATTTGGGGGGCACCCCGGTTTAAAAACGTATTTTTTGGACGTTTTAGGGGTTTTAATTTTAACGTATTATAATTTTTTTAAAATTTTTGGAAAAACTGGAGCCAGACCCAAATTCCTTAGATCAAGAAAATCCCCCAAAATAATGCTAATAATAGTAATTGTAAAAAATACACTGTAGTAAAAATTTATAATATGTAATATAAAAAACAAATAGGGGAAACTTGAAAAGGCTGCCATTAAATTGGGGCCACATCAGCAAAACATTGGTAACCCCTATAGTAAAAATTTTGGGCTTTTTCTTAAGTAGTGGGTCTTTATCCAGGGCTATAATAAAAGCACATTGTAACCCCTTTTTAAAGAAAAAATTTTTTTATTTTTGGAAACCCCCCGGGGGGGAAAGGGTTTTTAACCCGAAGCAAAAAGAAATCGACCAAAAGGGGCGGTTCGTTAATTTTTAAAAAAAAATTTTCCCGATGGGGGGGTTTGTTAAAATTTTAGGTTCCACGTATTAAAAATTTCATTGCCACTTCTCCCCCCACTGCTTTAGGTTTTTTTTTAAATCTTTGGGGTGCTCCCCCTTTCCCCATTCCCGAAAAATTTTTAAGGCCAAATTTTGGTTTTTGGCCAAAATTTCTTTTGTCACTAAATTTTTTCCCCTTTTCTGTGTGTAGATGGTGAAGGGGGCCCCCAAAACTGACCCCCGTCGTATTTTTGACACTTCCCCCCTGATTTCGAAACCCCTTTATGCAAAAAACTGCTGCCCGTCAACCGTGGGCCCCTTATTAAGGAAAAAAAAATTTTGCCAAATTTTGTGCCTTAAAAAATTTCCCGATAGCCTTGATTGGGGGAACTATCAAAGGCCTTAATGAAGTCCATATATGTATCGCATTCATTATCATGATCTACCTCGAATACCTTAGTGAAATAAGGTAATAAATTCATAAGGCAGGAACACCCTTTTGTAAAACTGCTGAGATTCCTTGATCAATTGTTTCTTTTCAAGATGGCTATGGATTGCCTCTGCAATTGATTCCATAAATTTTCCCACTATGGAGGTTAGGCTTACTGGTCTACAGTTCAAAGCAAAGGACATGTCACCCGATTTAAAAATATGTATCACATTTGCCATTTTCCACTTATCAGCACTATGCCAGTTTGTAGTGATATTTTGAAAACATTAGCCAAAGGTTTGCTAAGCTCCTCTTTGCATTCTTTTAGAACCCTTGCATACAGTTCATCAGGGCTCTGTGATTTGTTAGGTTTTAATTTATCTATTTGTCTAAGGACCATGTCACTTGTGACCCTAACCAATAGACCAATACCTCCATAGTAGGGGAAATTTATGGAATCAATTGCCAAGGCAATTCGTAGCCCTCTTGTGTGGCAGTGATTTATGAATCTCTGCAGTTTTACAAAGGGGAGTTCCTGCCTTACGAATTTACCTTTTTGTCACTAAGGTATTTGAGGAGGTAGATCATGGTAATGAATATATTGTGTATATGGACTTCAGTAAGGCTTTGATAGTTCCACATTAGAGGAGAGGCATGGCTGACATAGCAGTTTGCGTAAATGGGAAATAATCAGTGGAGGCACATCACAAGTGGTGTTCCACAGGGGTCGGTGTTGGGACCCTTTGTTCAGTTTACATAAACAACATGGATGAGGGAATACATACCAACATTAGCAAGTTTCCTGATGACACCAAAATAGGCTGCTTTAATTCATTCTCAAGGAGACATTATAAGCACACCAGGAAAACTTGAATAGATTATAGTTTCAGAGAAGTGGTAGATTCAGTTAAATAGACAAATGCAAAGTATCTAAACATTGGACAGGAAAATAACATGCACACAAACAAATGAGGAACTTAATATTAACTGACTGTGGGGGGGAAGGTTTGAGAGTTTCTGGTAAGGCAGTAATTTAAAAACGACAACAGTGCGTAAATGAATTGCAATAATCCAAACAAAAATCATTGGTTCAAAGCAAGTCCTCAAGTAGTTTAACTAGTTTAGATAATGCTGCACAACCATTCAAATTACCTATTACAGAATGGATATAAATGCACCGAAAACTAGAAAAGTGAATGACAGTTAGATCCCATGTACATGTCCACATCCCTTTATCCAATGCCCTTGGGTGCCTGCTATATGGAATATCAGGATTATTTGAAAGTACAAAATGATTTCTCAATGCTGCCAAATGGTCATGTGACCCAGCACCAAACTCCCACACAAAGAAACTTGTTTCAAACTTTTTGAATTATCAGAATTTCTGATAGACTTGGCATAGAATTAGGGGGGTTTAGAATAAAGTGTATAAGCGGGGAAAACAGAATAAATGAAAGTAAAAATGTGCTAAAAAAATACTATAGCCGCAGACAGACACGCAGCCGTGGTTCAAAGCTGAAAAAATTAGATCAGAAGGAAATAGGAAAGTGCTGGTTTGATGATGATGTGGAAGAGTGGGAACAAGCTCTTGATTACA